TTTTAGTAGATGCAAAGGTGGTCTTTGCAGAAGTCACATCAAGGACTAAAGTAGTATTTTCAGAAAGAAGAGGACTCATAAGGTTTTCACCTTTTCCAGATGGAGGTTCTTTGCCTTTACTCTTTCCAGTGTTTCCAGTTTTTCCTTCTACCCAAAGGCTGTTCTTTCAGAAAGGATTCATCCGCTTATGTCTCCGCTTGTGAAGGGACAGTGTTTCAGCATGTGTGGTAGGTAACACAGCCTGCTTTCTGAACAGGCTTCCTTTTGTCTAAAATGCCTGCAAGATGAGTGATTACTAAAACCTTCATATTAACCTAAATATCACTTGTCACTATAGCTTACTGGATATTTTTAGAGTGTTCTCTTGAAATTTGTGAAAGCATCTTCCAGTGTTAAGAATCTTCCACAAAATGAACGCAGTAATACTGTAATGTGGCACTCTGAGTGGAAAAAAATTTGCTTTCTAAGCACAAAAAAGGTGGCCTGTTTGCCACCTTCAAAACATATGCCTGGCTGTGTCTTGAACCAAGACACCAAACTGCTGCCACATAAGCGATGACATATATCTTGATTTTTCAGGTCTTTCAGACCAGTAGGCAAACAGAGAAAGAAGACTGGACTACATGAAGGGAAACAAAAAGGGTGGCTTAAAAATATTAGACAAACAAAACAAAACTGTTGGAAAGCATTGGGTTTTATCTTGACATTGCACAGGTTTAGTTAGTTTTGTTTTTTTTTTTTTAATCAAATATTAACTGGTTTTGACAATAATTTCTACATATGTCCAAAGTGTCATAAAAAAAGAGAGTTTGAGCTAACACTGCAGTTCAGACACATCATGGGTCCAGATCAGTCTTCAGTTGCTGGGATCTACGGGTCCTGCGGACAACTGTCAGATGACTCTGAAAGCATTTCAGAGTTTAGGAATAAGATCAGGCAAGCTGTGGCTATAAAACTGAGGAAAGGTGTCAGTACTGTTTTAAGTCAGTGTAGATGTGATGTCACTGTGAGACACCATGAGGCAGAAATTCTGTGAGATTTATGTTAGCTGCATCTGACTTTGCAGCCAGTCACTGCTGGCAACTTTCCCTGGGATGTTCAGTCATTGTTATGCAGACCACTTGCTTTTCCTCATCTACAATTACAGTTGTTAGGGAACTTTTAATGAATACATTTTAAATCAAAGACATTTCCCTTGGGATCCTGCTTGAACTCTTGGTGCTTTACTCACTGAGCTCCTCAGTTCAGTAGACAGACTCTGGGGAGTGCTTCTGTTGTCTTGGCCCACAGACAGCCTACAAAGCAGATTTGTTTCTTCTAAAGTCAGAAATATCAGGAGCCTTACAGATCCTGGCAGCCCTCTCAGGAAGGATTTTCAAATTCCTTGCCCCAATAGCCTAGAAATCAGAGAATCACAGATGCTCCCCTCTATCTCCTGCCATCCCACTACATGAAAGGGAACAAGGAAGTCCCAGCTTCTGTGGCAAACCCAGGGGCTTTTGGAATTGGAAGCCTGCACTCTCTTATTCTGCCTCAGTTCTAATTTGTTGAAATTGGCAAGCCAACATTTTTCAGATTGCTGTTCTGTGGGGAGCTTCATAATTATCTTTCACTCTAGTTTGGAATGAAAACAGAATTGCAGAATTTGCTGATTTGTAAATCTCTTTCTGCCCCTGGTTTGGGAAGTGTCAGAATTATGTCTTTGGAAGGACAACTGGCAAATACGAGCCTGAAACACAAGTAATTAATAATTGTCTGAAGATATTACAGTGGCTAGTCTGAAGAGGAAAAGCCTCTGACAGATTAAAACATATGCATTTCAAAAAACGTCCTTAACTTTTGCCATGAGAATAGAAGAGATTTAAGGATAAAAACAATATTAAAACTATAGTGGGGGAAAAAAAAAAAAAGGATGTGGAGATTTGCAAAAGTATATCTAATATGATCACTGTTACAGCACACTTCGCCTCACCACTTTAGCACTTTTTTAGGCATCAGTTTGAAATTTTGAAGATGCAATATTTGGCTGTTGAGCTGACTAAACTGAGCAAACCCAGCTTTTCTTAAGGAACAGGAAGAGGAGAGAGCAAACAAACAAAAAATCCAACCCATGCTTTTGACTATGAAATAATTTCTTACACTCACATACCAGAAACCAGAATTCAGAGAGCCTCAATTAGATTATTTTATCTACCAGCATCTTTAAGATGAAGTCAAAGGCAACAAAGGGACAGCCAAGATGATTTAAATGATGGGCAAAAAAAACAGAATGCAGATCTGACCATTCTGATATTTGTGGTCTAAAACAATTCTATTCCCATGCATGTGGTTAAATTCTATACTGTGGACTTCAAACATCCTTTTCTTTGTTTTTTTTCATCAAAGCAAAAAAGTTAAGGATGAAAGATGCTCCACTTCAGAGTAAGCACTTATCTGATTAGTACATTTTATAGTCATGCCTGCTGAAAGGGAATAGAAAATGTAATTGCCAGTGTAAAAAAGAGAAATAATCCATGGTTGGGATCCAGTCCATGGACCTTTCTTCTCCCCTTAGTTGGTAAAGCAATTGTGATTGTTACTATTTCTTACTTTCAACTAAGCAAGCTACTTCTTTTGGAAAAATTGTTTGTGCTTACTACATGTTTACCATGTTTCCTTGCAGGTTTCACCTATGCAGGATGGTCAGATTCACATTTACTAATACTTGGGTTGATCGGTGTTTTCAACTATGGGAAGAAAAGCTTTTTCAACTATGGGAAGAAAATATTCATGCTATTCTAGTGTTAAACAAAACCACCCCCCCCACCCCCCACCCCCACTTATTCATACTTAGGACAGATTTTTTTTTGCTATGCCTGGAGGCTCAGCTGCATCTAATGGTTTGTCTTGCTACATGTTTTATCCCTGAACACAATATGGCCAATTGTCAATATCAAATCTGCCAGTAATTTATCTTGTAAAAAGCAGAACACCCAAACTTAATTATTAGAAACAATAGCGCATTTGTAGACTAATGAAGTATGTTTGATTAGTTTATCTGTTTGTCCTGTTCTTCAGCTGTCTTCAAGGAAATCTTGATACTGTAAGTTTGCTCATTTGTAATTACTGCTGTTTTGCAGGTGGATTTGCAGCATCTTTGTTCAAAATTGGTTTTAGATGTCTTATATGAATGTAATCACCAAGAAACAAACAAAACCCCCCAAAACCAAGGGAGGCAAGCTCAATATGTAGTTACAGTTGTGCTCAAAAATGGACCTTGATTGTCTACAGTAATGTAACAGTTGCCCCTGGTAAGTCACTTGTGATAACATGTGAAACATTTTGTGGTGTGCAAGCAGGCATGGGTGTGGGGAGATGACAAGAAGGAGCTCCCCAGTGAAACTTTGAATTGGGAAATGACATGACTCAGATTTTCAAGGATTCCAGACAACTGCAGAAACATGTTCCTGGGGTGACCTAGTAAGTGTTTGTCACAGTCCGTCAAAGTCCCTTTCACTCTCAAGAAGGAAATAACTGGAATACATTGTTAATGCAGACAGCTACACAAATAATAAACTTTTCATTGCTTGAATTACTCAATGAGTGTAAAGTTGCACTGATGATTTCTTCAAATGAAAATGCCTTCAGGAAACAAGAGTGGTCTGGTCTGTGCCACTTGACCCAGCTGGCTTCTAATACCAGTAGTGAGAAGTCCATAAAGTTTTGAACACCATCTCCATAGCACTAGAAGCTTTCAGTGTGCTTCTTATCAGGTGTCCCCAGCCACCCCTCCTCAGGAAAGGAGGAACTACAATGAACTGAAAAAAAAAAGCCAACCAGAAGAGTTTGTTTCTCTAACACAGCCTTGGTACATTGCCTGGCCAGCACAGCTTCACAGCCCAGGTATTTCTGTTCAAACTTGGATCTCCCAGCACCATCTACAGCAGATGACCGGTCCACACTGGCCAAAGGTTAAAGGAACTAACTGATGTTAAATCTGAAACTCAAGTTAATAGTCCTGGGTATTAACATTCTCCCTCTGTCTGTGGAGTGGAAGCTCTGAAGGTTTCTACACTGTGAGTGGCCACATTTAAAAAACAGTTACAGCTGCCTGGAAAAGCCTTAAGCTTTTACTGATCTGTTTTATCCACTGGATCATGCTTTAGCTCTCTGCAAAGCCACAGGACACAATCAACTACACACACATAAGGAACCACATGCATACACCCACTATTTCTTCTCCTCCTTTTGTTATGGCCATTTGGGGTTTTAAATCAGACTCACGATTAAGGTAAAGTTGGTATGCCACAAATTTCTCAGCAGTTGAAGGTAAAGCTAACAGAGAAGTCTATTAAAGCTATTCTAGTCCAGCATTTCCACAAATGAAGAGCTATACTCACTATAGCACCAATTTGTTCCAATTTCGGTTGTCTGTTATTTAATCGTATGTGAGCCACAAACTACCTCTAATCTTGGGTGGCCACTTTCCCTGTGGATGGCCTTTCAGTAGCCCTGTTCTCTTCCTCTCACCATGCTTCCTCCTTTCTGCTCTGAAGCACACCCATTCTCATACTTCAGTTTTTCTCCTCAGGCATCTTATCTTTCAGTATCCTCCCACCGTTTTTTTTTAACCCTCCTTACGAAAAGAATAATATAAAATTGGACAGAAACCAGAAAAAAATATGCCGATAAGTTCAGCTTTGGTGCTCCAGCTGCTAAAGGGCAGTCAGTCCATGGGACCTGGCTAGAGCCAGTCCAAATTAACCACCTTGAGAAAGCATATAGTGTAGACACTGGGCCTTTAGCACTGTTTAGCTCCACAAATCAATTCCTATTGCACAGTGCTACTCACTAATACAGACATAGCCATAGTCACCTTGAGGTAAGATAGATCCATATATGCACAAGTATGCAAGTACTGCCTCCATAACTTCCTCTTAGTGAGGACAACAAGGCCTCATCGCCTCCATTGTCTGGAGTTCTTCCAGTCTTTTATTAATAAATGCTTCAAGAACTGGCAATTAATTTAATTCCCTTTTATTTCAAAAGTGATTTTCACTGAAACAGTATTTGAAAATTGGCAGCCAGCAAGGCTTGTACAGACTCACTTCTGTGAGTCAGTGAGTAGAAAATATGGGTTGCTGTGCCCCTCTAAGCACTTCTTGCTGGAAAAGAAGCATGTGACCATAGCACACTCTTGTTTTTCTTACCAGATAAAATTTCCTGCTGATTTCATAAGCATCTCCTTCCTCTGCTTTGTAGGCTTTTGAAACTGTGAGGACAAATGCCCTTTTCTTAGTTAACATGCAAATAGAGGATAGCATGAAAATAAGGCTTCTAGTGTTCAAACATAATTGTCACATGCAAGTTTGAGAAATATGGTTAAGTATCACACAAAAGGATACTCTTTCTTAGAGTTTCTTTCTTAGTTGGGCTTGTGTGTGTTTGGGTTTGCCTTGTTTATTTTTAAATTATTATTTTGCTGTTATATTTCTCATTGTTGCTTACAAAGTTTCATTAGGGTTTGCAGTCATGAGAATTTTACACAAAGTCCCTTCCAGCTACAGGTGCTATTCCTGCAGTATCCTGTAATACCACTCAGAACGTTTCTAGTCAGTGAAACGTAAGTATCAATAAGTTATTTCATCCACATAATATTCCCAGAGATACTTTGCCATTATGAAATATTTCATTGTAACACTGGACATTCGACAGTAGGCATTAAGTCAGGAAGATTCCCAGCTCCTGAAGGAGTGGACCAAACACACCTCCTCTAATTGTAATATTTGAAGTCTTACAAAAAGTACCAAACACAGCATTGCTTCTGCAAAAAACCTGGAAAAATTTACCTTTAGGCAGCAAACCATTCCCAAAACCTATGACTGAGAAACCTATGTCTTTGCACAATTCACAATTGTTCCAATCTTTTATTGTTTCTTCTGGCAATCTTTGCATCTTGATCAGTGTAACTTTCCTCATAGCCTGAATGGGAAAGAATGAATTCTTTATGACAGATTAGTTTTCCACCTTCTGTTAAAAATTTACCTGGGATACAGGCCACTTTCTTCTGGCATTAGAAATAATATGGTTACCTGCTGCTTATTCTTCCCATTGCAGAGGACAGATTATGCCAAATAGGCTCAGCAGTCAGTAAGGTCCCTATGTCACTTCAGATTGCTTGTGAGATCTAGCATTATGTATCAATAAATGCTCCCAGATTAGGCTATGCCTAGGAGTGTAGATATCCTCAGGCTTGGACATGAATTCTGCTTACCAAAAGGGAGAACTAAGCCCTACCTACTGAGTCTGAGTATCTGAAAAGTTGCACACAGCCACAAACTGGTTGTGAAAGTCACACAGGCTCAAGAATAAGACAACCTCCTCTCTCCCTTACATAGGTCTTTTCCCTGATTTATACAAACACATAGGTGCAAATAAACTGTGAAAAAGTGACCAGGAGACCTTGCATTCTAGTCTCTGCTTTGCTGGGGGCTCTGATTCTACCTGATTTCAAGTCTCCCCATCCATAAAACTGCAGCCTTCTCTATCATGTTAACTGCTTTGCTAATTACTGTTCTTATACTATAATTACTACTATTTTAATTTCCTTTTGTCCAGAAGGAACTAAAGCAAACCCTAAACCCCATACCCAAACCCAAGGAGGATCTTAACTCAGATTAAGACAGTCATTATGCCAGTGTAACTTGGGCCAGTTGCAGTAAAGTTTACAGACAAGACCATAGTTAAACAAAAGAAGCTTACCCCAAGTTCTATGTGGAATTGCTCTGTCCTCACTGTTATTTTAGATGAGTGCCAACATAATTTCATCACATGCAACATTCTGGTGTATAAGCGTATCTTATATCTTTTGGCCAACAATAATAGGATGATGTAGGCACACAAATTTCAGTTCAGTAAGGAGAAATAGGTTAAGGTATATTAGTCTAATTAATCTTCTATAGTCTGATTTGGTTTAACCTGCACACTGGGGAATGGGAAGAAAGTGTAGATATAGTCATGGTACTCCTTTTCTATATAAATAAGGCTCACATGCCTCCAGGTCCCAACCTTGAGCTCAGAACTTCAGCACTTTTGAGTATGTGGCCACTGGCATGATAGATTGTAGACCTACTGTAAAGTGCACACAAGCTAACTGCCAGTTCCCTCTGCAAGCTGCAGTGGAGAGGAGAGTCTGACAGAGGTTTTGTGTTTTGCATTTTACATTTAAGAACACATGGCTTTTAGGCTACACTGAGGCCATCAATGAGCTTCTGGAATCAGTTCACTCAAACTCCATTTTGAATGTCATAAATGTTGCTGCTCACAGAGGATTAGCCATCAAGATTAAATTAAAAGGAGGATGGTTACATTCTGTAATTCTTTATGGTTCTCAGCAACATTCACTTTTATTCTTCCAGTGTCATGAGAGTGCCTGAATCATGGTTGCTCTTTGCAAGCCCTGCTTTGACACACCTGTAGCCCCCTCAGAGAAACATGGGCATTCCATTAAGGAATCATGCATTCGCACACAAGCATGCTGATCTAAGAAATGGTTTGCCCCCACATGCCACAAAATGTGATCTCCCTATGGCTATAAAGAAGATTCACTATCATTCCTTGAAAACACAGAAACAAGAGGGTCTATCCACATTCTTAGTAAGAATCACTAGAAATGTCATCTTTCCCTGGTGCTGAAAAGCAATTTAAAAGGACAATAATGTTACTCCATGTCACTAAATAATGTAGTATCTGGTGTTTCTTCCTGAAGGCTAACTCACGCAATCCCATGACTACAGATGACCTTCAACTCCCTTGATAAAAATAGTCTTTCATCAGCCTGGTTACAGATCCAAAGCCAAAAAAAATCTGAGTCCCTGAGCAAGACAGCAAATAGAGATGAACCCCAAGTTATCATATATTTTAAATGAAACTTGTGACTTTGAGTCATCTTTGAACAGCTGGCTTGGGCAACAATGCATCCCCTAATCTTTCCTTGTGCTTTGCTGATAATCAGTGTCCAATCAAAAATTTTACTGAATAGGCAATATAATTTTAAGATAATTGTATGGAAAATATTGTACCTTCTGGCATGTTTGCATGGACATCGCAGAAGTCCTGATTTCCAATTGCACACTGCAGAGTTACAATGCCTGATCATAGAATCAACTAGGTTGGAAAAGACCTTTTACGTGCAACCATTGCCCTAGCACTGCCAAGTCCACCATTAAACCATGTAATTGAGGGCCTCATCTACATGTTTTTTGAACACTTCCAGGAACGGTGATTCCACCACTGCCCTGGGCAGCCTGTTCCAATGCCTGAGCACCCTCTTTGTGAAGAAATTTTTCCTAATACCCAGTCTAACCCCCCCTCCCCTGTACAGTTTGAGGCCATCACTTCTTGTCCTACCACTTGATACCTGGGAGAAGAGACTAACCCCTACCTCATTACAACCTCCTTTCAGGTAGTTGTAGAGATGTTTCATTTACTCAAATGGGATTTACATCAAGTATCTTTTCTCCATCTCACTGTTTTTATTTTATTTTGTGAGGAACTGCTGTGTGTGGAACAGAGTAGCTACTACAATGACTGGTCCGCTGCTCAAATAATGAAGATTGAGGTGTAAAGATTAAATTCCTACAATCAGCTCTGCAAGATTTGAAACATGGCTCTGATGAGATCAGAAGCAGACAAACTATATCCCTTAGTTATGACTACTATTAATATCTAGAGTATTGCATAGGTCATAAGACACTCAGATCCAAACCCCTATAATTTTACACGCTACCTAAATGCAGAACAGGAAGACTGGCTGAGGCCCCAGAGTGCTTACTACCTAATGATTCATGCAGTCAGTTTTAGATACTCAAGTTGAATCACATTATGCTAGTTTTCAGAAGTCCCAAGAGGAAGTAGCTCTCAGCAGTAAGAACCAGGACTGCAGCTCCCCAGCATTCTTCAAAGAAGAGGCTCAAGAAGCAAACAAACTCCATGTAAGACCCTGTGGCCAGCATTTCTGATTGGCAATATTTTTCTAAAGCATTATGGTCTGCCAGCAGGAAACTAAGCTGTTTTAATAGGGCCCAGCACATAGCAAATCTCCCAGATATGGAAGCTTACAGCATTAACAAATGTTCTGAGAAAACTGTTAACTGTAATGTGAAGCAGAACTCACCTGCATTCTCTAAAGGGTTCATTAATCATTGCTCAGTGTTTTACAGCTGGTATGACTTGACCGACATGCCTCAAGAGGACTAATAAAAAAATCTGAATGACCAGTTTATTCTCAACTAAAGTACCCCATCTATTATGCAGGATGTTATAATAAAATGACAGGACCCATGAATACAAAAAATATTAAAAAATAAGGGCACAAAGCAGCATGAGTCCCAAACTGCTGCTATTTAATTTCATGCCAGCACTAAGCGGTACAATAATATGCTAAAAGTTGGGGTGAAGGGTTTTTACCAGCTCTGCAGAACATAATGTATCAAGCAGAGAGTATCTGGTACAGATCAGTACAAAGCCACTTCTCTAAGGGGAAGACAGGCAATTACCACTATTTCCCAAGGGAATATAAAGTGCAATAAACCTGAAGTCGTGAAATCCTACTCAGTGCCTAATACAGTCCTATTTTGTCACTGAAGTCAACTAGGCCTTCTTTTCAGTTGAAAGACAAGTTTAACACATGAAAACCAGCTATGTAATCCCTCTGTTCCTTCAATAAGACTTTTATAAGGATTTGCAAAGAGATGCTCCACTCTACTGTATCATCCCATGCTGAGTCTGGAACCTACTGGAGGCTTTGAATTCTGTTATTGAATTTGTGTCCTTTCTTTCATTTAGGACTCCAAGCCTATCTGAGATTGTGGTCCAAGACTGAATTTTGTTTCAGTTTTCATGTACACAGAAAAGAGGCCAGCATTTCTTGTTTAAATGCTGGGTATTTTGCTTCCGGTTTCAGTAAAGCTAATTATTCAGTATGTTTAGTGGGTCTATTTTAGCCTCAGATATCCCATGTACTCACCTACTTACGCATTTCAATTGCTCACATTACAGTGCCAGCATAACACTGTTTGCAGTACAGGCATGTGAATTGGCTGTCTTCTGCAACTGATACGTCTTCACAGGTGCTCAGCAAACATGGCAATTGAAGAACTGGAGCTTACATGAGGGTCTAAATGCCTTGCCAAAGAGTCTTGGGAAGATACGCTTTTTCAGCAAGTGTACCTAACTTGCTTACATATACTCTAAGTTATGCATCCACGGTTTTAAAAACAGAGGTCACAAAGCAAAATAACTCCTGCATGGAATTAGCTAAATAGGTTGTCACTCAGTCACATACATTTTGACACTAACAAGGAGGAAGCTTTGATTTTCTTCTCTCTGCCAGGGCTACTACTTTGTCAGTTCTCCTTAGCACTCTAATTAGTTACCCTGTGGTATTGTTTAAACAAAAAGTCAAGCTGACTCTTCAACAGAAAAAAAAAGTCTCTAGGCATACAGTTAACAAGGAAATACATCTTACAATTTCCTTTGATAAAAGTAACTACTGCTGTATTAAAACTTAAACAGGGGAAGTTTAGATTGGATATAAGAAGGAAATTCTTTCCTGTTAGGGTGGTGTGGCACTGGAATAGGTTGCCCACGGAGCTTGTGATCCATCCCTGGCAATGTTCAAGACCAGGTTGGACGAGGCCTTGGGCGATATGATTTAGCATAAGGTGTCCCTGCCCACGGCAGGGGGGTTGGAACTAGATGATCTTAAGGTCCTTTCCAACCCTAATTATTCTATGATTCTATGATTCTATGTTTAGAAAGCAATTGTGGGGTTTTTTTAAGCAACATTAATGTTGCCAGCAACATTTCCCTAAATACATCTGGCTTCCTCTGAAAATTGTGCCATGGATTTAACAAGCTTTGTGCCTCTAAAGCTTTCTAGAACCTGTATCTTCGTTTTCACAGGAGAGAGGCAGTGTGCATTGCTCCTCCATGTATTTGGTCTGTTGCCTTTCCTCTAATTTCAGTGCTCTTTCAAGCTCTTTCAGATGAGCAGAGATGCAGAAGGAATCAAAATAACAAGCTAGATGTTTTCTCATGTTTAGATTTATCCCTAGTTGACTAACAACTGGAAAATGCATCCCAATTTCTGTTTGTGGCTTCAATTGCCTATGTGATACAGAATATGACTTCTAACATATCTGGTGCAAATGCAACAGCATATGTGGGTCTTTTAAGCATCCTAAAGAGTCAATCAGCTTTCAAAGTAAGACACAGACGAGTCCCTGGCAGACATAAAAACCCCACAGACCAAGGAAATGCAAGAAAGATAAGCTTGAAAGCAGCTCTGAGGTCAACACTTCCTCCTCTCCACCCTTTTCCTGCCACCACAGAAAAGCACAACTGTCTGACATGAAGGTTAAAAGTGTTTTTCAGCCACCCAATTCTCAACAAAAATCAGAGACCGATTCTGTGATGTTTGCGCCTGAGGTTGGACACT